CCACCATGAAGGGGGTCCTTCAACTCTGTAAGTTCCATCGGGGGTGTATGACAAGAGAGAGGTTGGGGCATTGTGCCACTCTGGCTCTGGAGATTCATCTCTTTGATGTCCTCCTGCATCGTCCACTCCCCGTATGTCTCCTGGTCCCCAGATAGGGAGGAATGGGTTTTCACCATCTTTGAAGGTGGTTCTTCACCTGGTTTGTCCATGGACGATTCAGTTGAATATGTCGATGTAGAACCCACTTGTTCCTCTCTGGTAAAGACACTCTCCATCGTCTTCGAACCCTGGGATGGCTGCTGATAACTCTGTGGAGGTGATGGATGGCTCCTTGGAGTCATTGTCATTGCCCCATGTCGTGTCATCCCAGGATCCATCCATGTTGATCCAGTACTCAGTGGTAAATCTGGGGTCGACTCGGTTGTCTCCATCGTCTGGAGGGATGCCGAGTCGTCTGAGCTCTTCTTCCTGAAGGGATTCTTCGCCTTCACCATCTCGGTGATCCTCACCCTGAAGCTTGAGCGTGGGGGCTCACTCTTCTCTGTCGGGTAAGGGGTGTCGAAGTGTGTCTCGCTCCCCCCTTGGCCGTTGTGTGAGGGACTGGAGCCAGATGGTGCTTGTTGTTCGTGAGGTTCCTGTTGATGAGCCATTGAGTCCATGTACTCTCCCTCTTCTGGGGGTCGGTGCTCTTTGGCGTCGGGTTGGTCAGAGGATATGGAGAACTGCAACTGCAGTTACTAGTGTCAAGATACTGAAGGTACTTCCAAAGATAATGGTGGCGTGGTCTGAGGGGGTGAGTGGCATAAAGTTCGTTGTATCACAACGAATGTTTATGGTCTCGAGGTGCAGTGGGTGCCGTTTTAAATAACAGGCTGAAGATTTCTTTTCTTTGGAAGTATAACAGTGACTGCCTTGAAGCGGTACAGTTACCGTTGACAATGGTAAGGGTAGTAAGGGCAAGCTTCAGCTAATTGTTAAGCACTAACTCTAATCTGAACCAAGGCTGATCTCTATCCTGTCACTTGCATTTGCTGATTCAGTGTTAGAGAGGTGTTGGTAGATTGTGAGAAGTTAGGCATCACTTTATAGCGAAAGCAAGGAGCTTGTAAGAGTTAGGAGTATATAACCTTAGCTGAAGCTGGGGTCTAAGGCCACAGCGTAGGCTAGCTTAAATACATGTTAGACTCGTACTAAGAATAGTATCTACAAGGGCGTGTGCAACAAGAAGTGCCTCTTTTAATGAATGAGGAGTGAGGACACTAAAAGAAGTGTACTCCCGATGAATGAGAGTAAAGAGCACATATCACCTGCATCTGCATGGACTCCATCTGAATAGGCTGCATCCTGCAGACCGCCCTTGACTGGCGGTTGACTCTCGTCCAACTACTAAGAAGCATGATGGTGCATGCGGGTTGTTGGTCATCTGGGGTGCGGCAGCTGTGAACTGGGGTGATGGCAACTGGGTAAATGGGTAAGGAGTATGCCGGTGGAATATCATGGGTCCGAGAGATAAGATAGGCAGGTCCGGGGTTCCAAAGAATAAGGATAAGATAAGATAAGGAAGATAGGGATAAAGTCATAATACTTTTATACCAAATGTACTTTTACTAGAACTTTCCATGCTTTTCCTCAGACTTCTACCTTAATAAGCAAACTCAGCATGATGCTGGATTGCCAAATCCCAACAGAGGAGTAAGCTGAAGAGATGAGCAATGCTGATGTGAATCAATGTCAGTGTATCAATCAGCTTCCCTCCTGTAAAGGGTCCCTGAAGGCTGTTGCAACCCTTCAACAATATGTTAGCAACCTGGACAACCCTTATGCCCACCAGCTTGAAAGAGTTTTGGCCTCAACAGGTTGGGAAAGGCTCATTCATTGAAGGATACCAAAATTACAATGTGTTTTACTTTAAACTAGGTCTAGAATACCATTTACGTGTATTAGAGGTCTTTGAGACCCTTCAGAGACACCTTACAACGAGCTCTGCCAGAACCCATACTCTGTAGTAACCCATAGCCCCAGGTGTCCACCGAGGGGTATGGGTTATTACAGAGGTGACTGTAAGTACTAAAGTTACTTTAGCATGAGTCAACGTCATGGAACAAATGAGCATGTGATCCTGCAAACTTTCTTTCTGTCTGTCGGGCCGTAACCTTCGTCGAAGACCAAGGGGGACATGGAATTAAAATTTTGGATATCAGGTACCCATGGGAAATAATTATGTGATCAACATATATGGTGCGTCATGCTCCTTTTATGGAAAATTTGTGACTCAGTCAGTCGGATTTTTTGAAAAGTGCTTGGAATGTCATAAAACACCTAGGAAAATAGTCGAAATTTGGGGTCAATTTTTTTTGATAAATTTGCTAATATTGCCATCCTCAGTGATAGTTAGGCACTCAAAATCATACTTCAAAGCTTTGTTAATGTGTATCTTACATTTTAGGACCCGATATCCAAAATTTTAATTCCGCATCCCCCTTGTCGAAGACCATATCCTTTTCATGAAACACATTGAAAGATCCTCACATATTCTATGCTCGAAGTCCTATGAACTTCAATGCGATACCTTTATTCAGTGAAACACATTTCTAATTCACCTCATTACCCATTTCATCACCTCGATCATCCATGTAAAAAATCTATATCCAAAGAGCGGAAAAGTTCACAGAGGTCCCTCACCAAGCTGTACTAAAGTATTCCAGACAAACACCAACCTATATGAGGCTGATTCAAAACCATCTCTGAGCCTGATGTTCTTTGATCCAAACATGCATCTTACAGGATGATAAAATCCATTGCTTGTCTGCCGGAACCTTCCAAGAATCAACTGAGGTAACAAATGGTACCCCCATATTTTGTGTACTTGGTGAGTCTTTGTACTCATTGAGTAGTAGTATTCCTGTACTAAATCAGTGTGCTGGTCCATAAGGGTCTTTCCTACCAGTTCTCTTTATGAAACGGCCAGCCTGAGTACAGACGACTCAATAAATCCATCAAATGCAATTCTGATTTCCATTCTTTAATAATAACACATCCAGCATCGATATTAATGTACATCTCCATCCCTGCCTCGTAAGTCATAATATTCACTCTTCTCACATGTTCATCTATATCCAGGATGACTACTCCATCATTGTCTTCCATGAGCTTGGGCTGGCCTGACTCCTCCCCCCCACCAGACCATTACACCGTGTTCCTCCGAGGATACTTCCACAGTGCCTTTCGCCCACAGTGATGTCAGGGATGAAGACTACAGGGTGCGATTCTGGAGAACTTGGGCTAGGGAAGGAGGATGAGGAGTGAAATGGTGCCAGTTGCTGAAGGAGGTGGAGAGTGGGGGTGAGAAGTATGACGAGGACAGATAGGATTTTCTTGTGATTTCTCGAATCAAGATCTAGCGATTGGGGGGAAAGAACGAGAGGGTGATATCAATTATAAAGCCCCGGGATGCGTTCGTGATATTCGCAAGGCCTCCCCTCTGGTTCTAGTCCCCAAAACGCTGGGACTGTAGAAATCACATTAGGCACTAAAATTCTTTTTAGCTGGATTTCCACACAAGTGCTTGAACCATCATTGTGTTCATCATTATCACGTTAAAATTGGATTGTATGAAGGGACAGAAGAATGTACTCAAGAGTATGCAAATCCAGACATCTAGTCTTGTTCAGTGAAAAGACATCATGAAAGGAATGGATGATCCTACCCTGGTCATAGAGTTAATTCCCGTATCGATTTCCTGTGTATCAAATACTTGGGTGAAAACATCCAAGTCCACATTCCCAATGCGGATCTGTTTATAATGACGTGGAAATAAACCATCACAATCTTCTTTCCCCTTCCTTTTCCCAGGGCAATCCCACGTAAAGATATTTCATGGGGTGTGTTCGACGTTACTGTGCAGATTGGATTAATACAGGCAGGTGCTGAGATATACGAAAGACATACTACTTGGCAAGGGTGTGAATTTTGGGGACAAACTGAGATCACAAACATTTATTTCAAGGTCATAGCTTCCGCTTATCTCAGCATAACCTCTGTTGATGTGCATGATGAGATATGGACAGAAGAGATTTGGAACAAGTGGGTGTTCATTATAAGAGTGGAGAGGTATGTCCTCCAAGCAGTGACAACAGTAGGGAGAATTAGGGTGTGCAAGTCGATTGCATAAAAGTGAGTGGTAATTCCAGCAAATAGGAGACCAAGGCAAAGTTTAACCTGCGAAACTGTGAATACCAAGGAGGGGCCGAAATATCACAGGCTGCTTGCATGCTTTTGATGGACCCAGTTCCAATAGAAGATTGAATTATCTATGAGCCGAATTCCCTACTCCGGCATTCTCTTTTCTTTTCTCTCTCTTTCTCGGCCTCTCATTGGTCTGCCCACCATCCTGTTCCAGTCAGAACTCAAGGAATAATTGTCCTTGCATTGCACTCGCTCATTTTCAGAGGCCCATATCTTGTTCCTGATGAGCATAGACCTCTTTTGGTGGGGTACATCCTGGAATGACACCTCAATATTGATGTACACCTCCCTCCCTGCTTTTTAATGCTCCTCACACATTCTTGGCTACTAGTTCCATGAGATGGGATCGACAGGAGGACTTGTTTTCTTCCTACCCACATGCCACATGAACATAAGATCGATTCCTCTGGTGCCACTCCAACAGCAAACATCTTCAATGGTGATGTCAAGGAGGAGAGAAATGATACAGATGATGGGGGGAGATGGGAATGAAGATGAGGATATGGTGCTGAGGATGTTGGAGAAGGCAATTTGGGAGATGCTATGTGAGGAGTACGAAGAGGAGGATGGGTAGGATTCTTCCTGTCTGAATGATATCATTCATCAAGCTAATGCTTGATTAGGGATCCTCAGTTATGCAAGCTACATGCAAGGGTTAATAATTAATAGTAGAGCTGCATTCATATTCTATGACGCAGTATTTTATTCTCAGGGAAAGTCCAAATGAGAGGAATAACTATACTCCAAACTCCCAGCTAATACGCCGGTACCGCACTCACCTCAACCCCCTTCTCCCCCAAACTGCCACTCACACTATCAGTATCACTCCCCTTCTCAAACCCAACATAATCATATGCAAACTCTCCCATATCCCACTCATCCAGCCTGCTCACCTCTGCCTCCTCCGAGCCATGTAACTGACACCCCGAGATCCAATGCATAACCCACAATATAACACTAGTCACCACAAACGTATACGCAACACCCGTAACACTATCTGCAAGCTGTACCCCAGCTGAATGTAGTGATGGGCTAGGGAGTGGTGCAGTGTGTGAGTGGTGGGAGGGGGAAGGGGAAAGGATGACTCGCATGCTCTGACAAACCCACACGTGAGTGTAATGGCGACTAAACCAGCAATAGCACCAGAGCAGAACCCAATGACAGACCATTTTCGCTCAAGGCAGTAGTCCCACAGCATCCAAGTGAGGCCACCTATGCTCATAGCCAAGTTCGTCATGATACACACATGTGCAGCTCAGAGGTTAGCACTAAGCGCACTCCCGCCGTTGAATCCAAACCATCCAAACCACAGAAACACAACTGCATCACCATCAGATCGACCATACCAAAAATCAAACCTGAGAACTCACCTCTAAGCACAACATACGTTGCATTATGTGGCTTATACATAACCCTCTCTGTTCCCCACCCCTTCCTCTTCCCAAGATACACACTAATCACCAATGCCGCCATCCCTGAGGAGATATGTACCGGTGTCCCACCGGCAAAATCCAGCCCTCCCAACATGAATGACCACCCATTTGCAGACCATGTCCAGCACGCAATGGGGTCATACACCAATGTCGACCATAGGAAGATGAATATGGGGATGGGGGCTCACCTTCCATGTTCAGCAAGGGCACCAAGTGCAATCATGGGTGTGGCAGCAGTGAACATGAGTTGGTAGGGGCAGAAGATGAGGGCCGGGAGGCAGGTGGAGCCCATTGAGGGGGCAGAGAAGACGCCTTTTAGGCTGAAGTATTCTGTGGGGAGAGGAGGGGTGAGAAGGAGGGTTGATAAGGGAGAATGTTGGGGACATACTGAGGTCTCCGATGAATGCGCTCCCTGTTTCACTAAACGGGAGAGTATGGAAGTGAGACATACTTGGAAGGACACGACAGTGAGACAGACTAGCGCAGCCACTCCCCTACATCTTCCCCAATGCCGTCTACCACCACGGATTTCCATCAGTGCCATATCCTCATCTTCATCCTACCATGTACACAAAGTATAGGGGTACCATCCACATTACCGCAGTCGACTCTCAGAGTAAGGGTCCCATGAACAAACAGCAGTGCACATCATGCTCTAAGACATGCATGTTTGGATTGAGGGTAGGATGCCAAACTAGCTCGAACATGGTCAGCATTGGTGGGGCTGAGAAATACTGGAGTAGTACATACAACAACATGAGGATCACTCAATAAATCGCCTGGTCGCTCAATATGGATATTTGCATGGTCACGAATGACTTCATCTGGAACAGGGAATCGATCGAAAGGAGGGCATATTCAGCCTAACACTACATATTAGTAGGTAGTGACTCAGCATCATTAACAAACATACCATACGATACTCAGTCCTTCAACCCCAGTCAAAAGTCTGGAGACATCAGGCGATGGGTAGAGATGTGTGTCGACTTTTTATCTACCTATATATGTCCATTGATGTTCATCAACAATGTACCATAAATAGAATGAGAAAGAAGCATACATACGTGAACCAACTCGCAGTAATTGTAACTCTGGTCTGTTTGTGATGTTCCTGGATATTTGGTTATGCAAGTTCACTACAGCTATGTCACAGCAGTTTGCATGGTGTTGCTGTTGGTAGCTGGGAGCGAAGTTTCCCAAGTTGAAGTCAGGATTCCCATGCTTCCTATCTTCCCTCTTACCATCACTGCCGCTGCTGCTGTAGGCATCGTATTGCCTCTTACTGTCTCTGTGCCCTCGTTTCACCTTCCATGTCAAGCAGTACTTGAGCATATGTGTGGTTTCTGCTATCATAGGCCAGCAAAAGCATGCTGCCTTCATCACTGGGAATGGACCGAATGGTATGTTGCCCAATGCCCATTCTGTTTCTGTCGGTATTGTCCATCTTACCATCCATCCTAGAACGATTATCTACATACTGAATTGTAGTTTAGGTCACCACTTTCTCAGTTTGGGCACATATATGGAGGGTATGGAGGGATATGAAGCAAGTAGCACATGAAACACTGCTGGTGCGTCCTAGGTGAGTCGCTGTCATTCAATTCATGTATAAGCTGCCACATTTTCGCATTTTTTGCAGTACAGACATGTTACATTCCAAATGTCCCTCCCTTGGACTTGCCGCCATCGCTACATGACTCAAACACGACTTTGGTACCCGCTCCTTGCACCCGGTGGCTCCCTGCCTTAGCTTCAATGCTCCAGGTATGATATCAGCCTCTTCAGTGTCCCATATCATGATACTGATCTCTTTCTTTCATTTTTGAGGATGCACACAGTTGTGCTCATCACAAGCTGCAGAAACCCTTTCCTACTCACATTCTAAGCATGGTATGCCTCTGTTCAGTCTCTTTTTCTCATATTGACTATCTTCATTATCAGAATGACTCCTCAGTTCGAGGCCTTCAATCTATGTTCCATTGAGTGTCGACAAATCACGCACGCGAGTGGTGGATGGAACACTGCAGCAGCAATGTGGGGACAGGTGGTCAGACAGGAAGTGTTGTATGCATGATGTATCGTAGTGCATGAAATGTATATATACGTATGTGGATGTCTGGAGAGGTACACAGATGAGCATCAGTACGGGTCCATGAACAACAATACACATCAATGCAAAGGCTACAAAAAGGCCCATTTTTGGATGTCTGTTGACATCCATGGGTAAATCATTGAATATCAATGGCTGTCCACCCACGTCTATAGACTTTTGACTGGGACTCAAGGGTGAAGAAAGTCAGTGGTTCTCCCTATCGATATCCTCGTGTTTTGGAATTGCTTTGATTGATCATCATCTAGCCAGGTCCCAGTCCCGGGTCAAGGATGTACCTTCTTATCAGCGAACGGGGGTGTTCTCGGTTTTACCAGGAAGGACAAGCAGCATGCTCAGTTTCACTGGCCACAGAAGAGGTGGCTGATGCACTTACCCTTGGAGAAGAACAACATCATCAGCATCAATCTATGCCAGTGTATACCTTCTCAGAGTTGGCATGCTTGGACACCTGGAGGAAGAACATAGTAATACACTTGAAGATGGAGACACATGATTGATAATTGATCTTCATTTCAGTGGTGTGGGTGCATATTTGTGTGCACTCATACATTATCTTACTTCGCTTCTAGACATGTTCCTCCATCATCGATCATCCAAGGCAGTAACCCATCGATCTATTTACCTAAACCAAACAGCGCTACCCATCTCCCCCCAGTGTGTTCTTTCGCCAATGCAGGTATGAAAAGGCCGCCATCCCATCATGGTGGCTGTGTCACCAAAATTCATTTCATAAATACACCTCTGGTACAACCCTTTCAACCTCCCCTTAATGACTACCTACGCCTCACTCGAAGAGATTAAACAAGTATGCCTCCCCCCTCTAAAATCATCCTATAAACCAACCCCCTTGTCAACCCACCATACACTCCATGAAACATTCTCCTCCCAACTCACCCTCCTGATCACATGGTGCCAACACCAGCTCCTCCAACTCACTAGGATATTCCAGGAGAACCATGAAGCATTTGTAGCAGCTCTCCATTGTTAGCCACTAACTCTAATCGACTTAGATCGTGCTAAGGTCGCTACTCGCACTTCGGTAGACGACGCTCAGCAAGTCAAAGGCGACACAAGTCGATGGGACACTTAGTCACGAAGAACGGAGTTCGATGTTAGGTAGAATAAACCTTAGCCGAAGCTGGGGTTCAGTCCAGCTAAGGCTCTACTTAAATACACGTGAGTATTCTAAAAATACTACTGCGCAGTCAGTCCGTGATGATCGCGCGTCGCGTAATCCGGCTGACTGAAGAAAAGAAAAGAAAAGGAAAGGAAAAGAAAAAGAAAAAGAAAAAGAAAAGAATAATCGTAACATTACCCCCTCCTTAAGACTCATTCGTCCCGAATGAGAATATGTCTCCTTCCTTCCACACAAGCGAGTTGAGGGGCTCCCTTCTGCTTTAAAACAGGATTGATTGGACCTCCGCTACCCCAGAAAAGAGTCACTGCGTTGGGTTCGGCCTCAGACCCTCTCTCCCCCTGGACTCAGGTCCCTAAACTTCCTGAGCCACCTTGCGCCGGTTAGGCCTCAACTGTCTGTCGGGATCCTCGATCCCTAAGGGTTCAATGCTCGTAAGGGAGCGGTGGAAATCCCCTTCTACACCATAAGTATTGACTTAGGACCCCTCCGTTCCGGAGGAGTCCGTGGATGTTCTCTGGGAGGAAGAGAATCGCGATTCCGAATAATAAGACCATTCGTCGTCATCTTCATCATCGTTGTCATCATCTTCGTTCTTGTCCCAATTTTCCGTGACTCGTTGTAGGAGATCTACATCGGAGTCGTTATCTGTTGAAGCTCCTTCCACTATGGGTACTCCGTCCGCCTCTTCTGCCGTTACCTCTCGCATCTCTATTGAAGATTGCATATCCGAATGCCTTGGGTTTGTACATTCGGAGGAAAAGACAGTTTCCACGTCCGTGACGCATGGAGTGTCCGGGTCGTGGTAGGGTGTCTTAGCTTCTGGGGGTATCTTGTTGTCCCTTCCGACCGTCCTTCCATTTTTGTCCACTTCCCACTGGATCCTTTGAAGGTGGGCCTCGTACTCGTCGACGAGTTCTTCCGCGTTCGCCATGTCCGAACGTTTTACCCAGGAGTTCTCCTCCTTTGGATATCCTCTCCACTTCACCAGGTACTCGGTTATTTCGCGGCGGGTGCGTCCACGACCAATAACCTTGTCTCGCTGTTCGACGATTTCCTCTATCTCGTATTCTTCTTCGTCGTCAATCAACTCAGGAGGGGGCCGTTCGGGTCGCGGCTGATTAGGGAAGGTTGGAGCAATATAGGGGGTCAAGAGCGATTCGTTGAAGCGGTTGTGGATCTTCCATTTTGTCGGCAGCTTCAACTCATAAGCGGAGGCCCCCTTTTTGCCCGTGATGGCGAAGGGGCCAACACGACGGTCCCCGAGCTTCTTAGTCGGCCGAGGGAGATGAAGGTTGGTCGAATCGAGCCACACCTTATCTCCCACTTGATATTCCACTGCGACGTTCCTTCGTTTGTCGTAGGCCTTTTTCATGGACTCCGCCGCCTTTTCTAATGACTTTCTGGCCTCGCCTTGTGCTTTCTCGATCTCCTCCACCAATCTCCCTGCGGCCGGAACGGCCGTTGCTCGTTGAGGAGTCTTGATGACCTCTCCGTCTCTTCCGAAGATGACTCGATAGGGGGAGTACCCCGTCGCTGAGTGTTGACGATTGTTGTGAGTGAAGGCTGCCAACGGCAACCATTCGCTCCAATCGTCTTGTCTGTCGTTGACAAACATCTTGAGGTATTTTTCAATCTCCTGGTTTACCCTTTCGGTTTGGCCGTCTGTCTGCGGGTGGTAGGCTGTAGAAGGGTTCCCCTCGACATGGAGTAGTCGGTAGAATTCCTTCATAAATTTGGAGACAAAAACGGACCCTCGGTCGGAGATCACCTTCTCAGGCATTACACCGTAGGGTACGTAGACGTAGTCTCTCAGGATTTTAGCGAATCCGAGGGACGTGAGCTCTTCGGTGCAGGCAATAGGGATGATTGCTTTGGAAAATCGGTCGACGATAACGAGAATGGAGTCATAGCCTTTGGAGTTTGGGAGTTTGGTGATCATGTCGACCGAAATGTGGGTCCACGGGCGTGCGGGTATTTCGTTAGGATGCAGGGGGGCCCGTCTCGGGCGACGGTCGGCTTTCGTTCGCTGGCAGACGTCGCACCCTTTTACATAGGCTTCTATGTCTCGACGCATCCGGGGCCACCAGTAATCGCGAAGTACCAACTCTTTGGTCTTCTCAATCCCGGGGTGCCCAGCCGTTACGTGGTCATGCTTGAGGGCGATAATCTGCCCTCGGAGGTCTCGATCCACCGGTACGTAAATGCGTCCGTCGTACCACAACATGTCTTGTTCTCGGGAGACGCCCTTTTCATGGTTGAGGGAGTCCGAAATGCCTTTGTCCCAGTGGCGGGGGTCATGCGTTGCCGCCTTGATCCTCTCGTGTAAGTCCTCCATGGTCGGCATTACTAGGGCCCTAAAGTGTTCCGCTTTTAGGACCACCACGTCTCGGTTATCCTCCTTCCCTTGGTCGTGATCCGCCCTCCTGGATAGGAGGTCGGCCTTACGGTTTTGAGCTCCGGGCTTATGGTGTAAACTGAACTGGTACTCCGCCAACTCCGTTACCCAACGGGCTTGTCGTCGGTTGAGTTTCTGGGGTTTGCGGAAGTACTGGAGGTTCGAATGATCAGTCCAGATCTCGAAATCCTCTCGGGCCCCCATGAGGTATTGGCGCCATTCTTCGAGGGCGATCATGATAGCGAGGAGCTCTTTATCGTAGATTTCGTAATTGCGCTCGGTGACTGAGAGAGCCTTGGATAGAAACGCGACGGGTCGCCATTTCTCATCTTGCCATTGCGAAAGTACAGCTCCTACTGCTCCCTCGCTTGAGTCTGCCTCTACCCGGAACCGCCCCTGATCGAGGGGGATGGCCAGGACTACGTCTTCTCGGAACAACTCCTTGAGTTTCTCAAATGCTTTCTGCTGGGCCTCCCCCCACGTCCACTCCTGCTTCCCTGTAAGCATTGTTAATGGTCGAACGTGCTTGCTGTAGTCACGAATGAACCGCCGATAGAAGTTACAGAACCCGAGGAAGGATTGCAACTCTTGTTTCCTATGAGGAGTCGGCCAGTCCAATAGGCCCGCGATCTTGACGGGATCCATACGGATCTTTCCTTCGCTTATGATCACTCCCAAATACTCCGTCTCTTCAACTTCAAACTCGCACTTCTCCGCCTTGAGGAACAAGTGGTTTTCCCGTAATATCTGGAGAACTTTTCGTACAACCCTCTTATGCTCCGCCTTGGTTTTGGAGGCAATGAGGATGTCGTCCAGATATACCGATACCTCCCCAGCGGTGATGAGGTCCTTGAAGATGTCGTTCATCATCCACTGGAAGGTAGCCGGAGAGTTGGTGAGCCCGAAGAACATGACGAGGGGCTCATAGAGTCCGCGATTGGTCCGGAAGGCGGCCTTCCACTCGTCTCCTTTCTTGATCCGCACGTTATTGTAGCCCCACCGGACGTCCAGTTTGGTAAAGTATTTGGCCTTCTTCAGTCGGTCCATGAGCTCCCCGATAAGCGGTAATGGATAACGGTTCTTGATGGTCATCTCATTAAGCTTTCGGTAGTCTTGGACGGGTCGCAACTTCCCGTCCTTCTTCTTGACGAAGAAGAAGGGGGAGGCCATCGGAGACTTCGAGGCCTGGATGCGCCCGGTGGCTAAGTTCTCATCCAGGAACTTGTCTAGTTCCTCCTGTTCCACCGGGTTGAGCGGATAGACTTTACAGTCGAGATTGGCGTTAGCGTTAGGGATTAGCTCAATGGCATGATCCCAGGGTTTACGAGGGGGGAGTTCATCGAAGTTCTCCTTGTCGAAGATATCTTTGAAGTCCCGGTACTCCTCGGGTACTATTTCCTCAAATGACTTGGCGTCCTTTTTAGCGTTGGCTTGGGCGGCTAGCTCGTTGGCCCTAGTTCCCATAGCCCTGACATGGAATGCTTCTTCGAAATCGACTACTAGAATGGTGTCTCCTTCCTCGTATTCGTCCCATCGTGCTGACGGGTCGGTGTCGGGCAGGGAAAAGGGAATCTTCCTGCACGTACACCGAGCCAATGTAACTGCCCCGGTGTCCCAATCAATGAGCGGGTTATGACGTTGTAGCCAATCATGCCCCAGGAACAAGGGGGTGGAGCCGAGGTCAACCACGGCCAGTTCTATCCGTTCCACGTGGTCTCCTATCCGTAGCCGTACTTCGGCATACTCGGTTATATCTCCTCCTTTGTTACGGGTGCCGTCGGCATTGTAGACCGGGACGGGTCGGGCCGCTTTCTTTAGGTTGAGATCGTGGGCCTGGGCCCAGGCGCGATCGATTGAGCTTCCGGTGGCGCCACTGTCGACTAGGGCGGACACCGCGTGTACTTCCCGAGTATCGAGTGTTTCCAACTGTACTTTTATTGAGACGTTCCGCCCCTTCCTTCCTCGTATGTACATGGGTGGCTTCTGTAAATCTTCCATCCATTGCCACCGCTCTCTGGCCTGAGCCGCCGTTTCCGTCTGCTCCTCTAGTTGATGACATAGTTGGTCCGTTACTTCCTCGCGTCGTCGCGGGTGTACCCATCCGTTGAGAACGGCGCGAGCTGCCGCATCTCCCCGAGCAATCCGCAAGGCCCGACGGGTCCACAGGATGCCGTGGGGCTCGTAATACATCGCCGCAAATACCTTCTGGTCGTTGGTATTCGCGGTTAGAGACACGGCGGGAGACAAGGGCCTCCTCGGGGTTACGACCGGTATGTCGGACCGTAGGTGGGCTTCTTCGTCTTCCACTTCTTCCACGGATACCTGGGGTCTTGTACTCGTGCGCGGCAGTTGGTCGCCGGGCCGGTCGGGAAGGCCCCTCGGTGGCATTTGGTCACCTTCCGACGAGTCGGTAGAGGAGGGCGCTCTGCCCTTTCTTCGGCCCTGGCCTCGGGCGCTTGTGCGCGGCGTTGTAACCTCTACAGTCGATCCTTGCTTATTGCTCTTCCTAGACCCGGCGGTACTTCGGGTTGTCCTTCGCGGACGCACACGTATTGGCTCGCCCGTAGGGTCTACACCGTTGTTCCTCGGGTGTCCCTTGGCTACTGAGTGCAGGTGATCCTCCGAGTTCACGGCCTCAGCTGCATTTCCGACGCGTCCTACGGGAACAGACGCCTCCACAGGCGGAGACGCAGGCCCCGCAGGTTGGACTGGCGGCCTTTCTCCCACTCCGGGCTGACCTCCCTTCGTCAAGGGTGCAGTCGAGACACGACCTAGGGGGCTCTGCCCTCGAGGGACTTTCCCTGTACGGTCGGCCGGGGGTTCCTGAGCTTGGACGGCCCCTAGGGGTTCAGTGCTAGTCGCAGACCGCGACGAGCGGCGGTAATCCCCTCCTACGCCATCGGTGATTGGCGATTCGGTTTTCTTAGTTTCTTCGATAGGTAACGCAGCGAAAAAGTTGGTATATTGTTCATATGGGGTACCTACATACGTAGTATGAGTCCGACTAGAATTACAGGAGCGCGTACCAATAGAAATTAAGTCCTTTGCCGACGCCGTCGAATCGCTTATTTCGACGCCGGCTCGTCTTTTGACGACTTCTTCTCTTCCTTTACCTCCTCGATCTTCGTGTCCTTCCCATTCTCCTCTTTCACGGCTTCTTCGAGTAGTTGGCGGAGGCGGGCGACGTTGGGTTTCTTGCGGGGTGGAAGTTTGACGGGAAGCCACTTGGACTTATCGTCAGGGCATTTGTGCTTTGGATTCCACCCCGTGTTTCCGCATTTGAAGCACCGCTTGTCGGACCGCAGCTTGTCGATCTCCATTGGCTGCCCTGCTCCACCGTACGTTGTCCCCGTGGCGTCCTTCTTATCGCCACCGGAACCGCTTCTCTTCGATTGATTGCCTCGACTCGAACCGCCTTGGTTCGAGGAGGACTTACTGCCCAGTCCTTGGGCTACTCCGTATCGGTAATTGGCGTCTATCCTCAAGACGCGCGCCTTCCATTGTGCGTAGGTTGTGGGGCGCTCGTTGTCCCCATGCATAACCGTATTCCGCACCGTCGGCCTTATCGCCGCTTCTACTGCTTCGAACATCTGCTTCTCGTCACCGAACTCTTCGCATTTGTGAGCCAGCCGTTCGAACTTCGCGAAGAATTTGACTGCGGATTTGAAGTCCGCCTGTCGAATCTTCTTCCATTCCGCTTTCCATATCGTCAGCTCCGCGACTTCTCGGAATTCTTGCGTAAGGTCGTGCGAGAATTCCTCCCAGGTGGGGAATCTCCAATGACCCTGTGGGTCGCGGTACCGGTAGTATTGATCGACCCACCACTGCTGCGCATCCCCCCGTAAGTACCCCGTCGCGAACGTGATGCGATAGGGGTTGTGCCCCTGATCATTCACGGTGTAGTACATAGGGAATACCGCGAAATAGACCTCGCAGTGGTGTAGGAATCGTGTAATATTGGAGGAAACCCCGGTGAAGTACTCGGGCTGAGTTACCAGCTTGGGTTTGACATCGTTCCACGGGTTATTGACGGCTCCCGGCGCAAGTTGCCAGGGAGGAATTGGATCTGGTGGCGACGGCACGTGAGGCGGTACCGGCGGCTTGGGTGGTCGGGAGACCGACCGTAAGTTTCGATTCTCCCCGGGAGGGGGATACCCCGCGGGTCCCGGGTACGGTGGCTGCTTTGGCGGGAATGGGGGTACCGTAGACCCCTTCCCCTTGTCAGTGCGCGACGGCCCAGCGCCTGGGTCGTCCATATCGTCGTCGTCTTCTCCGGCTCCTCCGAAGAAGCCTTCGGGGAAGAAGTCCGACGGGTCCGTCGGGTGAGGCATTGGTTGAGGCCGCCTATAGGGCTCACACCCCCGCTGCGGCGCATTGGGGTTGACCAGGTTCCAGACGATGGCCGCCCGGTGCCAGGTCTCTACTTCGAGGATGTTCCTCATTAGGTACACGTCACCCATTCCCTTGGCGTGACGGTAGTCTTCTCCTGCTTCGGAGAAGAGCCACTGCGGGTCTTTCTCCATGTCTTCCATCATGATTTCATACAGTCCATGCCAGGGTAGTAACTCGAAAATCCCGGGCCTAGGCGTGGGACCCTGAAGAAGGACCTGCCTGACCGCCGCCATTACCGTCGGTTCCAGGGCCGGGTTCGGAGGTCGGCTCGGCATCCTTCGCGTTCTTCCTCTCTCGGGCGAGTCGGTCAATTTCCTTGTTTCTCCTCCACCTTCCGATGTCGGAGTCCTCATTGGAGATCTCCTCCTGGTAGACTCTCCATGCTCGTGCTCTGGCCTCGAGGTCGGCTCCTGCCCTCCGGGCGTATCCGGTGTAGCGAACGGCAGCGGCTCGTATCCGGTTATCGATTTCGGCGGGAGTGGCGTCGGGCTCAACGGGTAAGTCCCAGAATCCATCGGGCCCGTAGAGGGCGTCCTCCTCGGCGCGTCTGATGCGTGCATCGTGCGCTCGGCCTCTGTCCATGCGGGCCTGGATTTCTGGGGACTCCCGGGCAGCTCGAGTGAGTCGGAGGGACTCGACGTACGTGTGATAGAGGAGCGGCCACGGACGCTGTGAGAGAGGGACTGGGTCGGCGAAGGCTCTCGACGCGATGGACGGTTCCCAGTCGGAGACTCCGGCGACGCGCTCGGCGGCGGTAACTGTCCCAAGTTCCTCGGCGTCGAGGTCTGGGAACTCGCTCCAAAGCTCCCCACTCGTCGGCTCGTTCGAGGGGACGGGGGTAGGGAGCGTTGGTGTCTCGGCCCTTTCAGGGATCGGGTCGGACTCTCGTCTGGTCTGCTCTCGGGCCACAGCAGTCTCTTCCCCGTTGTCGGCGTAGACCCAGCTGGTGCTGGGATGCCAGCCGACTGGAGGGCCTCTATTGGTTGGCCAGGCCCTTGGAAGAGACTGTGAGTGAGCTGTACTGGTGGAAGCCGCGGAGGCTCCGAGGCCAAGCTCTCCTGCATCGGCGTCGTAGTCGTCCTTTTGCCTCTGTATAAACCTTCGGCGCTCTGCTCCGAGGTCGGAGTCTCCCCACTGGGCCTCAACCCACTTGGTGGACGACCTTCCGGACCAGTTGTCTCCGGTATAGGTTGCATCCTCCTCCGTGTTCGGGTAGATGTCGTCGAGGAGGTCGTCGAGGCGGGTTCTTTCCCACTCGGTGAGCTCGTCCCCTTCCCACTCGGTGTCAGGGCTTTCTTCGCCCGCGACCAGATGCCTGGTGCCTTGTCCTCGGCTTCTGTCGGGGCTTGACTCGCCTTCGACTGAAGGCTGGTCGAAGAGACCTGGTAGGGGCGAGTCTCCTCTGTCGAAGAGTACGCGCCCGGTATCGGTGATGTCGACGGAGTCGGTTGACTCGTCGGTGGCGCTTCTGTAGGAGTCGGTGCTCGACTCTGAGGATCGCGAGCTGGGTCGCGACGATCCGTAGAGGGACTCTCCATAGAGAGAGTGTAGCTCTAGCCGAGGGGTTTCTGGAACTGGTAGTGTTTGCTGTGAAGCCGCGGGGATATCTATCACCTGCGGGGGGTATGCGGGTACGCTGGGCACGTAGTGGAAGGGAAGCTGAGGTCGAACCCTTCTCTGCTGTCGGCAACAGCGGAGTGTGTAGTATAAAGAAATGGACAAGAAAAAGGCGATAAAAGTTGCGAAGATTGCAGGAATGGCGTCGGACCAGGGCATCCGTGTAAGGATCTATCCTTTGCGCAGGTCGACGATTGACCATGCAAGCTGGTATACCGCAAGGATGGTGAGAACAATGAGAAGAGCGATGATCAAGCTAAGGTCGGTCTCGTAATTAGAGCCGTTCATTAACGTGATATCGCAGGTCTCGTCGGGAGGGGTGCTCGTTACTATTAACAGCAAGACTGTTAGAATAGAGGCGAGCTGAAGGGCGAGTATAAAGGGTTTCGTGTTGGGATACGTGGTTCCTAAACGAGGCGGGGATATAGCGAGTACAGGGCGACCAGCAAACTTGCTAGCAACACTGCCGGTATTCCGAGCGCGATTAGGAGAAAAGTTAAGTATACAGTCAAGAAGACTGCAAGGAGTAGGTCGTCGTAGAAGATGGATTCAACAATCAACCGGGTTACTAGCAACAGAAGGAGTAGCCGAGGGGGTATTAGCCACAAGGCTAGCGCAACGATGTAGTGTATCGGATGAATGGTTGAGGTAAGTGCTTTTCCGTTGGTCCACTCGCTATACGTTGACAAGCACCGGGTTGTCCACACGAACGTAGGCGATGACCTCTCTGGTCAAGCAAGGTAATTTCTCGAAAAGAAGTTGGGCAGCGCTCTTTCTCGGAAGTGACGCTGAGCAACGTAGAACGAGCTTCGGCTAAATGTTAGCCACTAACTCTAATCGACTTAGATCGTGCTAAGGTCGCTACTCGCACTTCGGTAGACGACGCTCAGCAAGTCAAAGGCGACACAAGTCGATGGGACACTTAGTCACGAAGAACGGAGTTCGATGTTAGGTAGAATAAACCTTAGCCGAAGCTGGGGTTCAGTCCAGCTAAGGCTCTACTTAAATACACGTGAGTATTCTAAAAATACTACTGCGCAGTCAGTCCGTGATGATCGCGCGTCGCGTAATCCGGCTGACTGAAGAAAAGAAAAGAAAAGGAAAGGAAAAGAAAAAGAAAAAGAAAAAGAAAAGAATAATCGTAACATCCATGAGGTACCCTTCTATCTCTCCCTCTCACCAACCCATATAACTAACCAGCTGAAATAGGATTTAGGCCGACCAACCCTTGAAGCATACTTCACTGAAATAAACCTGGCCATAGAGTGCTCTCTGAAAGCTGCTAGAGACCTCCCACACTGGGCTTCCAAACACAACATTGATGTTGAGGAAGACCTATTCCGCATGTGGAGGCCTAGAACTCGGAGAGAACCAAGAGGTGTTGGATTGATCATCTCATATGCAGGCCTTTCTCCTTCTCTTCCTTAATGCATATTGATTGAATAAAGACCATGGAACTTCCCATTCTTCCTCGCAATGATGCCCATCATCGGCGTGCTCGCTGCAGGGTGCTGTTGGGTCCTTAAACCATCCGAGCTAGCACCAAGTTGCTCGAAGCTCCTAGGGGACCTCGTACCACAATACCTGGATCAGAGAGCATGTAGGGTCACCCAGGGAGGTGTGGAGGAGACTACAGCACTCTTAGACCTCAAATGGGACCACAGTAAGCTTTTTCACTCAGTCTCATAGATGCATACGCCAACGTGTATAAGTCTTCTATACAGGATCCACCAGAATCACATGCCACATAGCACAAAAAGCCACTGCACACCTGACATGGACAACCCTTGAACTAGGTGGGAAATGTCCCATACTCCTAGACCCCTCCACGGACTTGGACCTGGCAGCGAAAAGGATCTTATTTGGGAAAAGCCACAACTTCAGGCAGGTAGTACCCCATTACTATAACCACGTATTCTATTTTTGTTAATGCAAACGCCCCACCCAGACTTATGTATCCCCAGACTACCTCCTCATACCCACCCAAAATGACCCCTCCATCCTCACATGCATAATCGAATCCTTCCACCATGCATATACCTCATTCTTCCCCTCTGACTCACACCGACTCACACTCTCCCGAATATCCTCCTCCACCCACTTCACCCACCTCACCACACTGCTATCCAACATGAAAGGTTGTGTCATCCTAGGTGGGCACACCGACACCACGACTCTCCAGATGGACTTAACCATGGTGACGGGTGTGCAGGAAGATGACCCACTGATGAGCGAAGAGATCTTCGGGCCAATATTACCCATCCTCAAAGTTCGCAATTGGGAGGAAGCCATTCAGATAGTGGGCAGGGTATCAGGAACACCATTGGTGGTGTACATGTTTTCAGAGGATGGGGGTATCAAAGAGATGGGTATGTTTATTTTTGCTGTAGCTGGGTTCAGCTGATGTGTTGCGTTTAGTGAGGAAATGCATGAGGAGTGGCAGCCTCATGTGTAATTGCACATTCTTGCAGATGGCTGGTAAGGACGCTCCTTATCCTGCTTTTTAAATTGGTGGACTCATTAACTGGGTCACTTTGCAGTGTATGAATTACCATATGGTGGCATCGGTGAATCTGGCTGTATGTTCTCCTTTCTTTCTTTCTTTCTTATAAAGGTGGAATCTGATGCAGATGATTCACAGCTGGATGCAGCAACAAAGCATGCATGGAAGAATTCTCCAACATCCATTCCCAAATTGACGTTCCCACCTCCAAGTTGTGAGCACCCTCACTCTTCCTTTTTTTGTATTAACACTCATGCATAGGATGGAACCCCACCTAGAGGTATTCTACCCACCCTATTCGAAGGAGGCGACAGAGGTGGTGAAGAGCATGGGGTTGGAGGTACATCTTCCGGACAGTTCAGCTGAGGGGGGAATCATTGAGAAGAATGTGAATGGATGCATGGAGGTGTTCGTGCTGCTGCCATTGATATAGGACTTAGTATCTGTATCTTAATCCTAATACATCTTTGAAATAAATTGGGATTGAACATCTCCATTCATCCATTTCCGGGACACAGTAAGATGGATGATAAATCAGCATCAATGCAGATGACATGCCACCAAGTCACTCTCTGGAGTGGCAAGGAAGAAAACAAAATGTTGTGTTCTACCAGCAGTCAACATCTCAGTAGCTATTAGACCCCCCTCGTTAGTCTAAGAAATTATGGAAGCAATGATTTCACACATCAGGGCCAGGCTGTCTAAATGCAATAAAGCGTTGCGTACCGGAAAAGTTTTCAGATACCTAAAAACAACCTTGTCAGCCAACCCTGAAAACATCCCAAACATGCTGATATGCTGTCTATGTGTTCACACCTAGATATTGCGATTTTATAACAATACTGTTGCAGGTCTATCCTATACTAGTCGTATATCAAGGGCTATAGTTGAGACTTCAGACTGATAGTCAAGTTAGCATGCTACTAGTCGAGTCAGGACTTAGGAATGATACCACTAGTGGGTCGGCCCTACCAGCTGACCGGACTAGCACCTCCAAAGCTAGTATGACTTAGTAAAATATGGTCACTAGTAAAGAATACAGCTGCTAGCGCCCAAACAAGAAGTAAGAACCCACACAGATCTTGACCATTCAGTCGCTAGTGGACTGATCTGGGCATGAACGCCTAAGTCAGGATGACTAGTCATGCAAGCACTTCTGAAAGGACTTAGAAATGAACCAGTAAAGGCATAACCCTTAGCCCAGATCCGGCTAGTGTGATACAGATCTCATATGATCGGCACTAGTATAGCCGGGCTGTGCCCCGATCATGATTGAGCAGTTGCTACAGGCACAGTTACCCGACTATTCATATAGCCGTGTCACTAGTGGAGCACTGCTGGGCAAAGGGTGCTGAAACAACCCAATAGCGGAGTCCCTCAACCCGCTATCCGACAGAAAGAACAGGCTAGGCTGACTATTGCATGATTGTTCACCATAATTCGTGACTAGCCAAGATATCCTTACCAATATTATCCCTAAAGAATCTATTTATATTTATTCTGTACCTGTCTCTGTAGTATATAAGTAGTAGAAGGGGTGGCCTCGCATGCCAGGCAAGCCATCCCCATGATTGTGACCTACTAGTCAGTATTCTAGTGCCCCAATTAAAGGCTTTTGTGCTTAACCTCGACGAAGTGTCTACTAGTCGCTTAGTCACCTATAGTATTGAACGAATTGAAGTGTCTTAAAGTTACTATTCCGTCTTGGAGTGACTCAGAGTGTTTCGAAGTTAGTTAAAGTATTTGTTCTTAGGCCAAGAGTGCCACTAGTCGAGCCTAGGGTGCCGCTAGTCAAGTGTAGACCGCTTGTGAGACTCAGTATTTGGCCCAGAGTGCCACTAGTTTCGAAGTATCAGAGTTAGACCGGGCGCAGTTGCTCAACCCAAGTCACTATTCATCCAATCGTGTCTTAAAACCCCGCTAGCATGAGTATTACATCTGGTGTAGCTCACTAGTACCAAATATACATCTTTAAACAACCCTTCCCTGATTTGTTGAAGTCTGCAGAGTGCTTCTATTGTACTCGAAACACCCGAACTCAATAATATTGGTGATTAGTGTAGAGTAGTAGAGGGTTTTGGTGTTGTGGTGTTCATATCCATTCACTAGCCTTTTGTCACTCGCCGTTACCAAACACATCAATGCCGCGGAAATCTGAGTCAGGAAGGGAAATTACAGATGCAAGAAAGCTTCGTGCATCCAGTCCAACGGGGCCGTCAAAATGCAAAGGGAATGTGTGGTTCATCAGAGGATGACATGCGGACAGGAGGACTCATGTTGTAGTGGGAAGGAAACCTCGAGAGGTGATGTTCATGAGTCCATGTCCTGCCAAATGTAGCATCGACAGAATGTGGTTTTTGAAGGGAGGGGATATAGGACACATCAGTAACATTTCTTCCTGGTGGCAGGTGCTTGTCTATGGAATGTAGCATGTGCAAGGTGGGGGTGAGGGGCATATGTACTAAGAGAAAAAGTTTCGATGAGAGCGGCACTTTCTGGGATAGTGACTGCAGGCACTCACTGTATGCTTGTTAGCTCTTATGCATATCCATCCCAGAGGCGCTCCGAGTCAAAGGACATCTTCGCTGTACACAAACATCAGATTGTTTTTGCCAAGAAAGACTAAGTGTTATGGATCTGCCGAAATCCAGAGATGCGAGCACAAGGCGAGGAGTGATGATCGAAGTGAGGTATGATTAATTAGAAATGATGTACATCATTAGGGAATATAATGGATTCCAGTGAGGGTTCGTGAGGAGACCTGAGAGGTCCAGTTTGTGAAATAAAGGAAATCAGTAAGCGTGAAGCAATTACTGAGGGAAATAGCCAGTAAGTGTGGGGCAATTACCGATATATAAAGCCTGTAAGCGCGAAGCTATTATGGGCCATGGGTGAAGGCAAGCACTAAGCGTAACCTTTGGGTTGGTGTCAGAAAGCACATCACCAAAAGTGTATGAACCTGGCCAGTCATTGGCCAGCACCAATGAGCGATCACCTGCACTTACCCACATAGGTAGACATTGGCCTGCGAGGCAGCCCTGATCAAGCTCAATCAGGGAGTGCAGTTTGTGACCGGGGCCTGGTCACAAATATGCCTTTCCTTGGCCAACCCTTGCAAGGCCTTCCTGGTGAGGTGGCTCTGGTTGAGCCTGGTGACCCTTACCAATCATGGTGTGTACATGTATACCTCAGTTGAATTCCTCAAGCATGTACTAGCATATTCTGGAATACATATACATTTATCATTGTACAAAACAATTCATTCTATGAAACATCAATCCCATACAAGTCTAATCTACAATTGAAAGCATCTAAGCAAGTAATAGCAAAGGAAGACACGAACCATACGACGTTGCAAACCATGCAACATCACAGACATCATTTCCAATTCTTCTTCCTCTTCTTCGGTGGTTCCTGTTGCTCTGCCTTATCATCTGAATGAATATGATGTCTGTTCTTCAATTGGCGAGGAACAGTTTCCAAGACTGGGGGAGCATTTTGGTGCTCTCGATTCGAGCTCTCTCTTGAAGGTGATCGAGAGTAATGGTCAGCATGGTGGGTCACTATAGGAGACTTGGGTTCATCTAATTGTGATGGACTTCCTCGATGGTGCTGAAGACACAGGAGGGACACATGGGAAGGTGGAGAATCCGAGTCAGAGGATGCATAATGCAATACTACAGAACGATCTCGAGAGCTGGAGTGATCGGTCTGACTGTCAGAACTAGGGTGAGTCACAATGGGACAAATTTCTTCCTCAGGAGTTTGGTCTCGTGAACATTGATGAGAGTGTGAGCGAGAGTGTTGTTGAGGGGGCATAGCATGTCCAGAGGACCAAGAACGATGGTGTTGTTGAGGAGGCAGCATGGCATGTTCAGATGACCGGGAGGGAGAGCTTTGAGAAGGCATGGAATGTTGATGGGACCTGGAGCGAGATTGCTGGGGAGGTGCTGCAGAACATTGCTGGGGCTCTCGAATGTTGATCTCACTGGGTTGTTGTGCTTGACGAGCTTTGAGCTCCTTTGCTTCTTCATGGGTCTTTGCTTCTTCACAGGCCTTCTTCACTTGACGACGTTCTTCCTGAATGATTGCATAATGGCTTGTTGGCGGTGGTGCAGATGACTTCTCCTCTCGCTTTACAGCATTTCGCATTGAAAAAACCTCCCTGTACAAACCAATGTTAGACCATTTCTGAAAGAAAGCAAGCATGTACTTGTTCCACCAGGCTAAGATCTCCTCCGCATTGTCATCCTTATCAGCACCCTCAAAGAAATCCACAATCGACCAAAAAAACCGCCACAAGTCAAAACCACCATCAAATTGCTGCCATTTCTCGACAGTTCCCATGCAGTAACGAGCCTAAACAGTGACATCAAGGCCAGGACAGATAGAGGAATTAGAAGTACCTGAGTAGCAGTGTACACAATGTGATGACCAGTAACAGTGGTCATCGCATGCCTTGTTGCCACAGTATCACAGCCATTTGTTTTACCCTGGCATTCAGGAAGACTGCTACTGAGAAAGATATGACAAAAAAATTATTGTTCCAGTTAGCTTTGGTAGAAAGAAAAGATAAGTGATGAACTTACACGAACAAGAACGTAGCCACAGAAGAGACCCGCTGTTGGATCATCCTGTCATCCTGTTTAATGAGATCCTTATCAAATAGGAAAAGTGGTAGGCACCACCACTCATTGCTGATCTCTCCATTCTGGACAGCTTCCATGTAACTACAAAGAACAAGATCAGTGACATCTGCAAGAAAGGAAGGAGTCAGTATGTGGCCGGGTCTGCATCAAACTTCTGCTTGTCGTCAATGGAAATCAGGAATCGAGCTATATCTTCATGGTTGAAACCAAACTCGCACTTGTCGACAGGCTCTGGCTTCTTGAAACTGTGATTGCGGTCTTGTTTAAGGAGTTTGAGTATATTGGGTAGTACTTTGCCTGTGTTGTCAGAGCATGCACTGTTGCTCGCAGCCTGCATCTAGATGATTGAGGGGAATTAAAGCCCAGAATGTAAGAGAGCATATATACGTACTCCTTTGATTAATTTGTTTAACATTGGCAGGTCATTTTCAGATTCAACTAAAAGACAGCACATGCTAACAAAATCTTGGTCCTTTGACGAGGAGAACACCTCAAAGCAAAGCTTGGAGCACAAATCTATATCAATTGTACTGGAATATAACATCAGATCTGCATATATGCAGATAGAAATGGAACATATGGAGTGTTCAAGCTCTCCTCATTTCTCTTGTCAACAGTGGCCTCTTCATTATCCTCTTCTTTATCCCTAGCTTCCTCCTCTTCATCAGCACCAACTTCATTGCTACCATTCATGCCAACTACAATGGTGTTCTTGACGTTTATGAATGGGTTGACAGCTCTTGAGAACCATCGACCAGCTTGCTTGACAATTTCATCGACACTCGGCCTTGAGCATATGTCAATGCAGGATAGCCAAGAAAATTTTATGCATACTTTTTATCTTTTTCTTTCAGCCTGACAACGATTTGCTGGCATGCTCAGCTTGATGAGAAGTGCTGTGCTGAGGAGGCTGTGTCGCACGAGATGAGCCAGACTGACAAAGAGACATGCGGCAGCCAGCAGTAGAGGCAGTGGAGCATGTAGAGCATGAACGACATGCCATAGTAGTGAAGTGATGGTGGAAGGAAGGAAACAGACTCAGAGTATGAAAGGTCAACACATTGTGATCATGTGATTGACGCAAAAACATTCGGGCTGGTCCAAAGCTGGTTCGTTCTTCCCTCTTGCGCTCACTCTGCTCTTCACAGCTGCTCATCTCTCTGTCTCTCCCTCTACTAGTAGATGGCACCATTCAAATGTCCAGCTTGCAAGACAATTCTGAAGAACAACAACTCTCGCTCAATCACCCAACACAATCACCAGTGCAAAAACAAGAAAAAAGCGGACAACATCCTTTTGCAAGGCATCAAAGGACTTCATGTGAAGCTTGACAAGACCAAGAAGAAAAAGGAGAGGAGAGATGAAGACAAAGGGGGAGGAGAATCCAGTAGACAACCCATGGATGAGGTGAGTAGTATTTGGCACCTAGTATTTCTGTGCTTATACTCAGTAATTTTCTAGGATGTTTCCATGTTAGATATAGACACAGATGTTCCACTAGCACCATCACAAATCGATTTGCTTCCTCTGGAGAACAATGAAGTCCCTAGTGGTCATCCACGATGTACTCTCCGAATTCCTCAACGTCTTCATGACCTGATACCGACTGACATGGGTCCTATATGAATGGGACAGTACTCGCAGCTCAACCTTTTGTCATGACCTATGCACCAATGGACCCCCACTCCGCCACCAGATGTATTCCCACAATCTCCCTCTCCACCTCCACGATGACCTCTCACACCTACAACACGTATAACTGAGCCCAACATCTTTGGGGTATATCGCGAGTATACTGAATGGCCAACATATATTCCAAAGAACACTCACAGCAACAATCCAACAGCAAACCAGTCTCGCCCCCTGCACTCTGTCTTTGGGCCTGGAAATCCATCGTCTTCAAACACTTGGGCTCCATTTTCCAATCCTACCATCTTCCGCCTACTCAAATGGTATTACGACTCAGATAAGAAGACCCTGGAAGATCTTGACAGGCTTGTATATGATGTTATACTGCAGCCTGGTTTTTGCATTGGGCATTGCAAGGATTTTAGTGCTGCTAGAGAAGCCCGATGTCTTGATAAGCCTGATGCTTTTAGTAGCGATGTGTGGAGGCAGGATAGCATGCAGATTTCCCTTCCACAGAAGGACTTTGCTTGGGAGTCTGAGGCCAATGCACCAGTTATCGAGATCAATGGTGTATGGCACCGCTCGCTTACTGAGGTGCTCGCGAGTGCATTCCAGGATCCTTCAGCATCAGGATATCACCTCAAGGGTTTCAAAGAGATGTGGCGGCCGGACAAGGATTCACCAGCGGAGAGAATTTACGGTGAGGCATATACCTCACCCATATACCTTGAGATGGAGGAGAAGGTCCGCAAAGCCCAGGCTGAGCTGGATGCAGAGATGGCATCTCTGCCTGATGCCAGCCCTGTTGATGCAGTCGATTCTCATACTCCTACACCAGCTTTGCACCCATCAGATCAAAGGTTGTCCTCGGGTAGGATGTCTGTAGATTCATCAATGATGCCAAGCTCCTCTCGCTCCTCATCATCAGCACCATCTGATTCTTCGACTTCCATTCTGGGTCCAACACAATCTTCGAAGCCCCAAGGCCCATTGGAGAATGTTGTTGTTCCAATCATGGTTTATTCTGATTCAACTCACCTCACCAACTTTGGAGATGCATCGCTCTGGCCTGGCTACTTTTTTATCGGACTTCTCTCAAAGTATATCAGCGCAATTCCTGATGCTTATGCAGCACACCATTTTGTTTACATGCCAGAGGTTCATCTTCTACCAATTTGTCATTGCATTGCTTATTCTATCTGCCAGTTGCCGGATATTATTCAAGACGCATATAAGGCAGAATTTGGGGAGCCAGCATCAAATGCAATGTTAACACATCTTAAAAGAGAGTTGATGCAGGCTGTATGGTGCTTGCTCCTTGATGACAAGTTTAAGGAGGCATACCGACATGGCCTCATGGTACAGTGTTGGGATGACATTTGTTTCCCTGTTTTTTTGTCTATTCTGCAGACTATCCTGAAAAGTACGCTTGCCTTTTCTCATCTTTTCAGAGTCTAACTGTTACTTTCAGGGTCTTAATGGCATGCCTTAAAACCATGGGAACATGTCTCTGTCCTAGATGCCTTGTTCAGAAGTCAGAGGTTGAACAGATGGGAACAGTCAATGACATGAAACAAAGACTTGTGAAAGCCCGAGTAGACAGCCATTCAAGGTGCTGGCAAGTTGAAGAAGCACAGAGGACTATATTCTTGAAGGGGAAGGCCATAAATAGCACTCATGTAGATGCCTTTTTAAAGGATGACTCCTTAATACTGACAAGGGTATGTCTTTCTTGCATTGTGGTTGTTTTACATATTTCTAACTCTTTGTAGAGTGCTTTCTCTGAGTTCTTTCAAGATACAGATCTCGATTTTAATTTTTATATCCTCTTTGTCATTGATTTAATGCACAAATTTGAACTTGGCATCTTCAAGGCACTTTTCATCCATCTTATTCGGATTTGCTATGCCATCAGAGCTCATGTGGTGCAGATACTGAATGAGCAGTACAATTTCTATTCTATATTACTTTCATACTTACTAACATTCATGCAGATTCTGTCAGGTACCAAAATTTGGATGCTATACAATCCACAAGTTCACAAAGGATGTCTCAGGGTTGAAGCAGATGGCTGCTCATGACTTTGAAGATCTCCTTCAATGCACGCTGCCCTGTTTTGAGGGCCTCTTCCTGACATCAGCAGATAATAAGATTGTCCAAGATCTTTTGTTCATCCTCAGAGCTTGGCATGGGTTTGCAAAGCTGCATATGCATACCGATACTAGTCTCAAGGTATTTAGTGGTGTGACTAAGGAGGTGGGTCACCTTCTTCATCACTTTGCGAATACAGTCTGCAACAACTTCAACACTGAAGAAACACCAACAGAAGCAGCAGCACGTGTTCGTCGAGAGGAGAGAGCATTTGCAAAGGCAAAGAAGGAGGGTAAAACGCCTGCAGGAAAGCAAAAAAAGCGAACTAAAACCAAGAAGAAGTTCAATCTCTCAACATACAAGCTACATGCGCTTGGTGACTATCCCTGGACCATCTGGAATTTTGGCATGACTGATTCTTACAGTACACAGAGAGTATGTGTCTTTTTGTCACTGGTGTATCCTTTGCTGATGCTTCACAGGGCGAGATGGAGCACAAATGGGTCAAGCGTCTTTATGGGCGCATGAACAAGCACAACTTTGTTGGTCAAATTGCCACTCACGAGTCACACCAGAGGTGTCTACGCTCAATTCATCAATGCCAGCTTCTAGGATCCAAGCCATGGCAACATTGGGAGCCATTACCCTTTACTGACCCAAGCGAGCACTACTATATTTCCAGCTCTTCCCGTTCTCCAGTGGATATTGCAACATTCATTCACAATGATAAAAATGACCTCACTGTTAAGGTATGTTCAAGTTACCTCGACTTAGAACCACTCTAATTAAACTTGGCATTGTTAGGACTTTGTTCCAAAGCTGAAGAACCATATCCTTGCATGGATGGGACCTGAAGACCTTGTCCATACCTCTGAGTCCTTCACGACTGCTGACCGTCAACAAATCATCATTGTCGGGGAACACATGTACCAACACAAAGTGCTATGAATCAACTACACCTCCTACGATATGCGCCATGAACAAGACACAGTGAATCCTCGAACTGGCTCTGACATCATGATGCTCGCACCAGAGGAGGAGTCTGATATTCATCCTTATTGGTATGCACGAGTTATCGGGATTTATCATGTTCTAGTATGAAACAAGAATGATCCTGACCCTGGTGCCTCAAAACAAATTGATTTCCTTTGGGTTCGATGGTATGGAATTGATAATGAGTACAGGTCCGGATTTAGAGCAAAACGATTGCACCGAGTTGGATTCCTTGATGCCGAAGAAGATGATGGTGCTTTTGGCTTTATTGATCCTGGGCATGTCCTGCATGCAGTATATCTTCTTCCAACTTTTTCACTGGGAACAATGGATATGTGTCTGGCAGGAGCCTCAATTGCATGTCGTCCAGATGAGTATGATGAAGATTATGAAAGATACTATGTAAATTTGTGAGTCTATTTATCTCGAGGCTATGATATTATGCTAGACTCATATTCCTTCTCTTTAGCTTTGTTGACTGTGACATGCTTATGCGGTATGTTGGTGGTGCAGTTGGCCATCGAAGCACGATGGAGGCAACAAAAGGGCTATTGACCTTAGTAAAGGAAGCATTTGGTGTCATTGATGATGTGTCTGTTGAGGATCATCTGGTTTGGGAAAGCAGAAGCAAAGACTCGGAGCTGTATGAAGATCATAACCATGAAGACTTGGAATCTGAAGGAGACAACCACAATGAGGAAGAGGAGGAAGAAGAGGAGGAAGAAGAGGAGGAAGAGGAAGAGGAGGAAGATGCAGAGGATGAGGATGAGGATGATCAGAGTGGATGCGGAGAGCCAGAGGAGGATGATGATGATGATCTACCAGAGGATCCTCGTGAGGAGCTGGGATTTAGTACATTCTAGGCATTTTGTATAGTCGGGGAATATACCAGGCATTGTAACACATTACCATGGAATAACCTGTAAGATGTATTACTGCAAGGATATAACCTGAAAGGCATTTGCTTACCTTGCTGTGCCCTTGCTGGTGTATTCCTGACCAGGCTATTGTCAGAAAGGTCTTAGTCTGATCAGTACTTATAAGATCATTGTCAACCTTGCTTTTCAATGACCAGGATGACCTACACTTGCAATGACTTGGCTTTTTTTGACACTTTTGGTGATGCACTAGGCGTATCCAATGAGTTGTTCAGCAAGCGCTAGGTGTAGCTGAGGGTTCATGCAGTGAAGGTGTCCTGAAAGTGGTAGATTAGTAAAAGCTTTTTAATACAATGTTACCTATGAGTTTATATACTAAGGAAAGATTAGAGTCATTATTATTCTATAATGTTCCATAATATTCTAGTATCAATACGAAGAATAGAGAAAGTAAGAGAAAGTACGAGCGAGTCACTACTAGGACCGAGAAGGCCGAGTTCAGGCATGTGTTGACTCATGCACCGAATCAGTGGATACCCAATATCCATAACACTAAGTCCCGCATATGAACTGAGTTAAAGTCACAGTCAAATACCCAACATGCCAGGAACACAGGCCAATCTCATGTTCGAGCTAACTAGTAGGGATATGCATTCGAGGGATGTCAGTGGAAAGAAGAGAGAGAAGGCACGAAAGAATTCAAACAAGAGCAAGAGACACATTGACTGGCATGTTGTTGAAAGAATTTTGGCTTTTGGACCATATCTTCCGTGATGCAAATCTGCTTGCTTAGACCTTTATATCCACCTGGACTTTATATAATGCTTCCATGTGCCATTGCAGCGCACAGTTTATCAATGTAGATCAGATTCAGCTGAGGTTCTTGGCATTTCAAAAGACAAGTCCAACGTTAGGCCTCATGTTCTCCAGGGCAAGAAAAGAAGTGATAGAACCCAAAGTGAGTGGTCTTCCCTACAATGTCGCAGTGTACGTCGAAGCGGACGTAGACGGTTATGCAAGGTCGTGAGTTGCTTGCGAATCGGCCGGGTGTGGACGAGAATTGGCGTGTTTATTGATACGGGAAGTATCTAAATAGTAAATCAGTATGAGGAACAAGGAGACCACTTACTGGGCTCAATTCTGAAGGCTTGGGGGCTCGCTCGATGGCTCAGTGCTCGTGGTGTAAGGCAAGAAAGGTAAAATCAAATTTCCATGTCAATCGGATACAAATGTGGAAGAGGGGGTAGCTGCACACGTTCTCTCACGTCGCCAGAGCCTGTAATTGATAGATTCGTGTATGTAGATATATTCTATAACAAAATGTGTCAGAAGAAAGCGAATACCTAGCTCAGTTACCTCGACCGCAAGCAAGACTAAACCACCCAGGATACGTGCAACTACAGCATAGGAAGAGGTGCTGCCCCGCTCAGCATACGAACTGGTGGCCCATGCTGTCGTTTCTCGATTCCCAGCGTGCTCCGAGGTGATGTCATCTGCCATTGGCATTGGTCTTCACGTCGGATGGGGTAGGGAGGGGATTGATGATGAAACTCAAAGAAAGGAAATCAGAAACAGAAAATGAAGACAAAACGAACCAATATATCTATACAATGTTCATACAACCAGTACCAATCTTTCCGCCAGCATTCGAAACAGCTCTTTTGTTGGTGAGGCGAGCTACCTCAACGTTGGTGTCTTGGTCTTGAGCATTGATGCCCAAAGGCAGAAGTATGAGGAATGTGTGCTTGTTGATCCCAGAGCTACACAGTGATGCATTGAAGAAAATATGAATCTGTAAAGGAGAATGGCAGCAAAACGGAGTACATGATGGTGGAAAGAAGGAAAGACACGTATCGAACTGAAAAAGGAAGTATGAGTCAGCCGGCCCGAGACGTCCAGTCTACGAGCGCTGATGTGCTCGGTAACAGGCAGCGCGCAAATGAAACAAGCATCTAGATCGTCAATCTAGATACTAAATCACACACACACACAATCACCAATGTATATAAGTTCGAGGGTGAGTACGATAGAAGCACTCGCGATGTACTTAGATTTAGATAATCTAGTGGGGTTTTGTCTGAAAACAACTTCAATTCTTCTTTCGATGTGTTTTACACAAAGTACACTAGTCCGCGATAGCAGGGTTTTATGAACTTGTTTTGTAAGGTATAGTCGAGCAAGTTATGCTCGTTTCGACGTCGTCTAGAAGAGCTTCTAGCGGACACTTCAAATAATCAAACAACCAAAGACTCCGAGGTCTACAAAGAGTGCAAAATCACTCTACAAAGAACGCTCAGGTTCTGACTTCAAGTACAAGACTTGCAAAGAGTACACAGACTCTGGAGTTCCTTGAACTCGACAATTGTTCGAACTTAAAGCGTTCTAGGGCTTATTTTACTTCAACTAGATGAGGTCTTTTGACTTAAAGTCGACTCAGCACGTCTAGATCGCTAATCTGGGAGAGAGAGAGCACGAGGCCTTTGTCCTGCGGAGCAGTTCAATTAACTAGCAAGGCGCAAACACAGGGACGGCTCTACTTCCTACTTAACTCTTCTAGATTACTGTAGTCACCCTTATGGGTTGACTTTGGTAACTTAATTCACTTCAGTCGAGGATATGCAATAAAACCAGTGATTGATTAGGTAGCTATACAGGCTACTAGCACAAACGCGGGGGGAATGCTTTCCTGCCGTTATGCGTCTAGTCGCTGCTAATTTATACGATTTGTGTTCTAGGTATAGGAGCCCGTATCTACAGTAATTATGGTACGAGCTTTGGAATTAATACAAACGGTGAGTCACTATCCTACAAGTATCGCGCCATTCCGTAGTTTCTATTCAGTCCGACGCGACTGCGCCAGGTTATTCTGTCGCCGAGGAGTGCCCTACTAGTCCGTGGGTGCTCCTTCTTCCGTCTGCAAGGCCTGCCGCGCACCGTATGTATTGAATACTGCGGTATGCGCAGGATCTCGAGGATGTAACCACCGATCGCGATCGACTGCAGGTCCGAGATTGTATTCTGTTGATCACTGCGCAATCAAGGTTGGTCATCTCGGTACCCAATGCGGCTATTCATTCTTCCAAGGTTATTCCTTTCCTAGCCTGAGTTGATCTCGAAAGCTGATCTGTTTCTCGACTTAGCAATTTTTCCTGACAGGTTCTTTCTACTCGTCGAGGCGACGAGGCATCTAGTTCGTTCCATTCTTCAACTTCTTGGTTTTTATACTCCATACAGATGAGTCCCCGAGATTTGACTGTAATAGTCTTGTTTAGGTAGGGCTTAGCTTGGCGTGTTGACGGCTGGTAGAATTGACTCTTTGAGATGTCGTTTCTAAGTCCATTCTGTACTGCCGTGCTTTCATTCTTTATGTAGTATTTAGCTACCAGCATGAAGCCTCCACTGTAGCCCTCTGTACCTGCTTGTAGATTGCATAAACTGATGTAAAATCGCAAAATCTACGGGTAGCCTGATACCAGGCATATCAGTGCGGCAACTCGTACTACCACAACGAATCCCTCGTGCTTCTGAAAAGTTTTGATAGCTCACCAGGTATCAAGCCAATTTTGGCGAGCAGAGGTGTTCTTGATTTCATCGGAGACAGAAAACAGGGCAAGAAAGTGAGTGACTGGGTTACTCTACCGATATTCTTGTGCTTTGGAATCATTTTGATTGATCATAAATTCAGCCATGTATCAAGGCTCCGGGTTAGGTGTAGAGTTTGGCGAGGGAGGGTGTTCTCGGTTTGACTGAACACAGAGAGGAAGAGGTCAATGTCCTGGGTTCAGTGGACAGCAGCGTGCTCGGTTTCTCTGGCCACAGTGAGTAAAAACAAGGTATCATATACTAAGACTCATATACGTCAGTGAACAGTGTTCTCAGCCTTGCGTACCAGGCAGGGAGGACTAAAGTGGCTGATGTACTTGCGCTTGGAGACAAAAATGTGTGATTTATGATTGATTTTGATGTGAGAACAGGGTGTGGGTGTGTATTTGCTTTAGCACCCACTCTCACAATATGTTATCTTACTTTCCTTCCAGACACATTATTCCATCATCTGAGTGATAAACCCGTTCATCCATTCATGTTAACCAAAAGGTGCTACCCATATGCCCCAGTGTGCACTTTCACCGATGCAAGTACACAAAGGCCAGCAGCCCATCACAGTGACTGTAACCTCCTCCATCAACTAACCCTCCATTCATAAATAGACCTCCAGCTCGATGCTCTCAATGGCCCAGCTATCTACCCTTCAAGCTTCAAGCTTCATGACTACCTACACCTCACTTGAAGAAATCAAACAAGTGCGCATCCCCCTCCCACCTAATGCATGATCTAACCCAGTGCAAAGATCCACCACACACTCCACAAATCCTCCTCGCAACTAACCTCCTGATTGGATGGCCTCTGGCTAGGATGTTCCAGGGAAACCATACCCTCCATGGAAAAAAGTGTATGTAGCGCACCTTAGTAGCATTTCACAGCATAGCATGCAAGACTTATTGGAGTTTAGGTGGTGGCAACTTGGTAAGAGGATGTGGTTGACTTGAAAGGCAGGTATATTCTGTCATAGGTACGGAGACAGTGGGTGGTCGGAGTCAAGATATGATAGGTATGAAAATGTCAAAGTAAAGTAAAATGGCAAATAGGTATAAATAAGATGTGGCATTGAAGCTGTGAAATCAAACCTTCAATAAGACTTAACGCCACATATGATTGGAGAAGACTTAGTACATCTGGCCAAAGAGCAACCTGGCTATGAGCTGGCGCATGTCTTCAAGCAGGGCAATACATTTCTGTAAATGATGGTTACAAACACTCAGAGTGTATGACATATCGGTACTCAGTATCTTAGCATAGGTTGAGATGCTCTGTAGCACAGATTGAACATTCCGGCTGTAGATGGGCATCAGACCATTTTCGTCCAGGAAGAAAAGCACACATACCAGCGGATTCAGATTCAAGAATGTATACCCAACAGACTACCATAACAAGTACACGTCAGTCTCGTATTGGAATGGTGTATGTATTCGAGACATCGGAAAGAAAGGGTGACACAATCATGAAACATGAGACTGGCGTGTCATTTACAGCTGTTCCGGAAAATAATGAGAATCACGTGAGAACAACGAGTGCCCAAATTTGACATATTTAATACATTTGGTAAATAAATACTGGACCTTCTCCTTAACATACACCTGTATAACTCACTCATGTTAGGCCTCTGAGGTCCTTTCTTGAAAATTTACAACAAATACCATAATGATATAACATCTAATCATTGTATCTGTTCAGATGGGAAGGGATATACCCTGTAGCTTCCAGCAACACAGCAGAGCCACCTCAGCATCTGTTGTATGTCCTGCTTACCGATAAGAGGTCCCAGGGTTTGACAGCATATATTCAGGCAATGGAAAGGTCTACAAGAGTGTCTATATGTTCTGATAATTGCTGAAGCAAGCGCATACCTAAGGGTTATCAGAGTTATCCCGAGACTCAGTCACTCATCCATCAACTAAAACAGGCCAAATTCATTATGGATCACTTTGAAATGGTCGCTGACTTCTGAAAAACAACTTGACAGAGGATGCGAACATCAAGCCAAGGTGTACGTTGAGGAGAAGGGCCAATATTTATTTACCAAATGTAGTAAATATATCAAATTTGGGCGCACGTTGTTCTCACATGATTCTCATTATTTTCTGGAACAGCTGTAAGAAATGTTTCGGACCGTATCTTCCCAGCGAGGTCTCACTTTATCTTCTTTCAAATTTTGTAAAAAGCCATGCAAATCCATCAACTCAGACTTTGATATCGACCTAGGCGGGCGAGGAGAATTCTGCGTTCGACCCTTGCATGTGTGCATTCAACTGCATTTGAATGCATTTAACTTGGATGCATTTGCGTTCCTTCGATGCGTTCAAGTGCGTGACCTGCTAATAGTTAGTCTACCTTCAAGAATAATACTATCATGTGTATGTATATGGCACACTTATCTACTTTTAATGTATTTCCTGGACATGTATCAGCAGCTTTCTATGACTTAGAAACAGTGTGAAACAGTCTTGGAAAGCCATAAAGGCATGGATTTTAGTTAGTATATGTTTTATAACAAAATCCTCTTACTTCAATATCATTTCGCGTCGAAATAGTTGTGAGCCCTGGCTTTTTTTTTGGACTTTTGGTAAACCAGAAAACTTGCGTGCACGTCTGGAATCGATGCAACTCGCTTACACAACTCAAAAACAAGTCATGCATGCGTTAATAAATCGAACGTGAGCATCATTGTAATAAACGCATGCGTTAGAGACAAAACGCAAACGAGAACGCAAATGTGATGGTGGCTGTGACAGCATGTCACATTTGCGTTAGGCTGCGTTGAACTCGAGTTGAACTGTGGTGGCTTCTGCTGTTGCACTTCATATGTGCTTGGCTACACTCCCCAAGCTTATGAGAGATTTTACAGAGGATTCCTGCTATATACATCTCACTATAATTTGTGGAAACCTACCAAGATTTAACTGAGACACCTTGAACTGCTTCTCTTTCCTCCGAGTCTGTTTGTATTGCTCATAATATATTCATACCTCTAACATAGTCTAATATCCCTGGATGCTCTCAAGGTCTGTTTTCCGGAGGGAAATATCCACATGAGTGATCAGGTGAGCTCAAACTTAGTCGGGGAGAGAGTACTTCTATGGGATGAGACTTTGTTGGCATTAAAGTACGGTGTTGAGGTCTTTTACGAGTACGTTAGACTGTTACATTCCATATATTTGATAACTAAAGTACATAAAAAGTATTATTGGGCACGAATGCATCTTTTTCAAGCTTGCACATGCAAACGCATGCACGTGAACGTGAACGCAGAATTCTCCGTGGCCCACGAAGAGTAGTGTAACAACAGGAGATTTCTCTCCATCCACGACATTAATCAAGCGCCTCGTTCTTGTTGCACAGGCACGCGGTCGAAGACATATACTACTGAAATCGCAAAACAGTACTCAAACTCCAATCAAATTGAAGGTCCCGCTCTCAGATAACAGCTTCTGCGTCCAGAGGTCAATGATATTATGAATACAGAAGTACACAGTGAACAGAAAAGATATAGATATGTCTACCAGCCTAGCCTTCGCCACATCTCACGATACTCTGGAAATCTCCAACAATACAACCTCACCCGATACTCAGTCTCATCGCGGAATTCCTCATCGAACCGTTCCAGCGCAAATCGCTTCCAATACGTCGAGTTTTTCCTTTCCTGCATAGTCATTCCCTCCAGGACAATCCTCAACAAGGAGCCTATATCCCCCACATCCGCGTCATGCTTGCTCCGAAGTCGCCGCTCCGTCGACTCCATGTTATCCTTCCACTCCTTCAGTTTGTGGAGCAGCAGAATCGACATGGGGACGACCAGTAATCCCTGCTTGTCAACGATAGCCTCCGAAAATATCATCGGTAGCTGTCACACTCCAGGTTTGAGAATATCGACTTTGGTTTTCTTCATTTTCCCATCCACACCGTGGTCATGGTACCATGGGACCTTCCAGTCAGCTCCAGGCGTCTTAGCGTCCACCAGATAAAAATAATCTGGGTTCCTAGAAACCAAGACATTCTTCAACCCCTCTACATCGCAAGTATGCGATGACATCAGAATATCGACGTCCTACCGCTTCGTCAGGATCGGCAATCGAGATTCGATCGGCGGAAAACGCACATTCGGTAAACGCTCATTTCCATAAAGATAGCAAGCCATACTCCTGAGCATTGCAAATGTGTATCCCTCCTTTTTAAAGATGTGATTGACTTCTGTCGCAGCGTGGAAAACGACAGCCCAAGGGCCAAGCATTGGAATCACTGGATTCCGACGGACTACAAGTGAAGTACTACTAGCTTGCGTCGCGGACTGGGGTCTAATGTCCTGTCCATCGCCTGGCCAGTGGGTAATAGCAACATAACCTAAAAAAGCTGGTCATTCGTCCATAGGAGTGGCAGGACTAGAGAGGTCAAGAGATGGTGTTGGTAACAAGGAAAGAGGAGGCTATACTATTGGCACCGCGCTGATATTTGAATTTCAAATAATGTACGTACTTGTTTCTCCTCTAGACTCACACCAGGAATGCAGAAATTTGGGAGCATCTGATTTATCTGCCTATATGTAAGATTTCACGTGAAAAATAAGACTGACGGATATTGGTAGCCATATTAAAGGTTCAAGAAGGCCTTGAATTGTCCCTGGAATGTAAGATATCGGATGCGAATTCAGTCTGCCGTAAACGAGTCCTGAAAACAAAGATTCAGGAATACCCTGAACTCGTAATGAAAGCCCCCATTTGGGGTAGAGTTTTGGCAGACGGTAAACCTAAAGTTCTCAGGCATCCGAAATGCATGCCTAGACTTTTGGTTCCCGTGCCGAGCTCAGGCATACCGAAACTAGGATTCCGGGTCATCCTATTTTTCCGGGACACCCCAAACCTTAGTTTTGGCTTTCTCTATTATTGGTCACGAAATGAGTATTCCGGATCAGATTTTAGTGGCACTCATATCTATGGTACCCATTACGCCGAAACATGTACCCAGATGGATACTTTCGGCATCGAATCAGGGCAGCTGGGAATGTTCAGTTTGGAGTCGAGTACAGGCACCGTGTGATTTATTCTTTGTTTCTCTGATTTGGGATCGATTTCACAGCTTGTCGGAACTTTTGGTATTGGACCAAATTTCAGTAAGTCCTATTCTCCTTCCGAAAACTTAGGTATGGGTATTATAATCAGGATATCCTAAATTTCTGGATTCCCCGTGTGACTAGATACGGCTTGCTTCAAGGATCGATTTGGACTAACACATCCCACGTGGCTCAAGTCCTGACAAGTGCGTCGGTCCACGAAGCAGTATAAGGATTTCATATCATTTCCAAAGTATCGTATCGATTACAGATACAGTCAAAATCAACGACTGAACTGGAAAGGTGCAGACCCAATTACGCATTGGATACTAGATCTAATGATAACCTCGTATTAACAAGATAGACGACAAATAAGTAGACTTGTCACCTTACGGACTACAGACATTCTACAGGTCAGACTGACCCTTGGGGCAGGCATCTAGCGTTTAGCAATGGTATTCTTCATGCAAGTATGGCTTTGAAATATGAACGTCAGCACAAGAGTACACTCCGACTGAGACAAAAGAGAATCAGGGATCTTGGTGGAAAAATCGTCTCATCAGGTAAGTATATACACCCTCTGAAGTAGCAAATATAAAAGATATTACATCATGCGAGGAAAACACGAAAATGAAATGTTGTGCACTCACCTCAAAAATATGTTCTCACGCTGGCTGCAATTCCAGAAAGCCCAGAGCGATCTCATACAACAGTGGTGGTGGGGATGGTGTTACCGGCGCCAGGTCCCAATAAGGAACGGCTGGGTCCACAGCCCTGACATGGCGAACCATGCGCTGCGGACACGATGGCAGCTCCCTATAATCATTAGAGACCTAAAAATAACCTCATCAGCATAATCTGAAAACATCGAAAGCAAGGCCGAGGTAATCTCAGTAGGAGAAATTACGGACGCAACATATCTTCGCGCGTCCAGCCCAACGGGGCTGTCGAATGCAAGGGGAATGTGCGGTTCATCAGAGGATGATGTGTGGAGGAAGGGCACTCACGACGTAGTGGTATAAAGCGAAAGAGGAACAATGTGAAGAGGCGCATGCCGGGTAAGAGCGGTATGTCGTGAAACTCTCGGGCACGAGTAATACCCTTCGAAGGGCGATACTCATGGGTGGGTCCACGCCCTAGCTAAGTGAACGTTGAGTTAACTGGCTGTTGCTTTCGAAGAGAGCGTGTATAGCGCACCTGGGTAGCATTTCCTAGCTCTAGCGATGTAGAAATGAGACTCTTGTCGACGCGGCATACAATGCCCGGTATATGACTCAATTGGCTGGTGTGCGTCATCTGCTGAGAGAACAAGTTTCGATGAGTGCAACGTTTTCTGAGATTGTGATTACGAGCGCTCACAGTATGAAGTCACATTTCACGCTCCCCAGCTCCTATGCATATCCATCCCAGAGGCGCTTGGAGTCGACGCACATTCCGGATGTACACGACATTTCTTCGAGGAAGAACAACGTCACGCAGCAGTCGATTTCAAGTCAAGGACATATACCCAGCACACAACACATGCGAGTCTAGCATTTGAGAGGACCGATGGATATATGCATCAGAGGAACGTCGTAGCAGAGAAGAAAGGAATGGCATGGAAAGATTCAAACAGGAGCAAATCAAATGAAGCACGTGGCAGACGCGTTTAATCTGCTAATTCGGATTCCGGACCGGGTGATATTGTAACTTCCTAGAGCTCTCACCTTATCTTCCATCAAAAATATTAACAAGGCACGTAAATCCACCGGTTCAGACTATTATACCGACCTAGGCCATGTTTAATGCTACTGCTGCGCACCGTAGACGACACTTGGCTGAGATTCTTGGCGTTTCATGATTAGGATGGGTCCGATGTTAAGACTCTCAAGTTCTCCAGGGTGGGAAAATGAAGAAAGTGAGCGAACTTCCCACCGATATCCTCGCGATTCGTTTTGATTGATCGTCGACATCAATCCAGCCAGTTCTCGCTAGCATATACCTCAATTTCGCCAGCCACAGGGACAAAGAAATCGACATAGTTGGAGACGCAAACAAGCAATTGATGTGTTGGACGATTGACCTTGGTGCGAGAGGCACGCGTGGGTGCGTGTTTGTCTAGTCCCCTCAATTCCAGAAAGAACATCTTATTTGAAATTTGAAGATCGATGCGGCACCGAAAATTGACTCGGTTCCTCATTCCCTTAACAACACCACCTCCTAGCCTCGTTCCGAGTCTCCACTGCAGAACAAATCATATGGGCAGAAAGAATGCCAGGCTTAGGGCGAACGTCCTATATGATGCCGCCAAAGCCATGCAGGCTCACTTTCACCGCTGGGACGTTCAATCAGTTGTCGGTGCTGATCTCGCCTGGTATCTCCTGCTAGATTCTCCCGGTGCTATAAAGCAGGTACGCATGCACGAAAGACTACAATCTTCATGTCTTATTTATTCTAACCTTCAGTGGAAACTGGACATCTATATACAAGGGTACCGGGGATCCATGTTGTCATTGGTGAGGAGTTTATCAGCGATCGATGCCAGATTTGTGATCTCGAGTGGGACAACAACCGTAACACACATCCACAATTCATGGACTTGCGATATCACTCTCATCAGCGCGAAGTGGCCACACCACATAATAGTGAAAGACATTGCATGTCTTCCGTTCAAGTATCTCCTCTTCCTGCGCATGAAGGTGTATCCAATAATAGCTTCACCTATCGAGCTTGAACAACGAATGTTTGAAGATGTAGACTGCTTCGAAGGCCTACCTGGCTTCTATGAAGTCAATATCCCCAGGCCAGGTCCCTCCGCAGGACCAAGCTGCGTTTGATATTCTTTTCGAGAGCTTATGTGCTACTGTCCCCGATGCAAAGGAGACTTTTGACGCCTTGCATATCACCTCATCGCGACTGGATGTCCCCGATCCGACTATGATTAACCCGACTGACAACCGATGATGTGTGGGACACAAGACCCCAGTCTTCTCTTGCCTCATCGCCTTTCCTGCCTAAGGCGAGTATTTTGCTAGCAGTCTCGACCCCAGCCAGTCCAGTGATCCCAACCCGAGGCTTTCGTGCTGTCGTATTTCGTGCTGCCAAAGAAGTCACTCGTATCTTCAGAGAGGCAGAGTGTACATTCGCAATCATGGGGAGTACAGCTTGTTACCTTTATGGAAACAAACGCTTGCCAAATGTAAGACCTGTCTGTCATGCTCATCTGATATTTATTGACAAAGCAGTAGGATGTCGACATTCTAATATTATCGCATACCTGTGATGTAGAGACATTAAAGGAACTCCTTGTCACTAAGAACCCTGCTCGTTTCTATCTCATGAATGCCAAAACCCCTGGAGCTACGTGGAAGGTCCTGTGGTACCACGATCACAGCACGAATGGGAAAGTGGAGAAAACCAAAGTCGACATCCTGAAGCCGGGGATTTTACAGCTGCCGATAATATTTTCTGAGGCTATCGTTGATAAGCAGGGACTACCAGTCGTTCCTCTGTCAATCCTACTGCTGCACAAACTGAAGGGGTGGAAGGATAACATGGAGTCGATGGAGCAACGTCTTCGGAACAAGCATGACGCGGATGTGGGGGATATAGGCTCCTTGTTGAGGATTGTCCTGGAGGGAATGACTATGCAGGAAAGGAAAAACTTGACGTATTGGAAGCGATTTGCGCTGGAACGGTTCAATATGGAATACAAGACTGGTACGCTCTATTTCAAATGGAGTGATGCGCAGAACCCCTGACACTGCTCCTTGCAGTATATAGATATGTTCCTGTGCCTTTCATTAATTAACATTCTTTTCAAACCCCGAATCCATAATTGGATATGGTACTCTCATAAAATTCCTGGTGCCCAAAGCAATGCCTTCTTTTCGCCAGGTTCCGGGTCAACGTCTGCTTCTTTAGGTCTTCCATGGAACAGTTGTGACTGTCACTCCTAATGCAACCTGTAGAACGACCAAAAGACAGACAAACAGATACAAAACTGGAATTAGCTAAGCGCACCTTTAACTTGAATTCCAGTATATAGCAGAGTTGACCAATACAACAGTCTTACAGTCTTCCAGTACCGGCCGGTAGGTCACCTTGGGTCTTTTTTTTTTTTACCGAGGAAGCAAGCATGTAAGAATCATACGGGCATTGCTATGAGCTCTGTGACTTTGTTAAGCATGTTCTCATTGATACACGTGCGGATAAGACGATTACAACCCATAACTACTGACCGGGGGCGAGTGTGCTGACCAATATCGTACATGCCTTGAGGCTTGTACTATCAATTGATGGAAAAGTGCAACCAAGAATGTCCACCCATAGCGTTTTCATCAATTCTTATCCATTCCTCTCAAGAATCCGTATAAACAATCCCAAAGACCCATACTCCACTTTATGTAAATTCTCGCCATCCTTGGAACACCTTGCAGGGAAGGTCCGCCTAAGGCGTAGAGGAATGAGTTGAACTAACCTTGCATAAAACTCACTGTGGCCCAATTATCTACTAGCACATCACATCGACATTCTAAGCATGTTTTCAAAGTTTAAAACAACCCGCTAGTGATACATTTTCGAAGTCAGCAAAAGGTGGCTCGGACCGATTTTTCCGAGAACAAAGAAACCATATCTCTCTAGTGTGTCAATAGCTTAAAGGCATGACCGGTGACAAGTAAAAATGCCACAAGGATGTTACTGAGTGACATCAATGTCAGCACCCAGCTTCAAAATTTTGTAGGCTTCGACTTCCCCCACTTTGGTGGATGTTGCGTACAAATTATACAAAGTGGCATCGCATGAATATTCATTGACATTAATGGATCTCAATTTTGCAGTTCATAGATTCAGTTCAGTTTCCTGTCAAGCAATTCAGGGCCAAAACCGGTGCGCTTTTCATGCATAAATCATTAGAGAAGCAGGGTCAGATCAACCTCATTTATTGTAGCTACTCAAAGCAGAGAAAAGGGTTCAAAAGCCAAATCAAGCCGCAAAGAATACCATGTAGCGTGGTCGAGCCGGATCAAGTGGCATATACAAGAAAGCTTTGAACTCCACAGCTACACCTCTTTCTACTCAGCACATACAAGAATACTGGAGTCAAATTTCTCTGAGTCCAATCATTAACTGAAATACACTGAATTTTGTGAGTGCAAACCACATTGACCAAGTCGAGCCGGTAGATCTGACCGCGCACATGAATGTCATCTGGTGACGTGCTGAACGCCTCTTTCCTTTCTACTACCACCATCCCCGTTGCCTTCCAGCCTATTCGCCATCTTCACTGTTGCCCTACACCCGGATCCTGTATTATCGCAGGATATGGCTTCACACTCTCACTGCTATAGCCTCCTCATGTTGGCCTCTTACTGGCAAACTGACGCGAAGCCTTGCGATACAATTCTACAGATTGAAACTGCCATGAAAGGGTGGATATATGTGCTTGGTTCGGACACCCTCAGCAGCAATACGTCCTCAGGAATCTCATTTGAATAGCAGGACATCTGGATGCCTCTGAGGTACATCTCGTTGTGCTCTTGTTTTTCGATATTTAAGATGTACAGTCGCCCTATATGCCATCTATGCATCACTTGGGTGTGGTCACGGTACGTTCTCCTTCATACATGCGTATATTTCTGGGCTCGCTAAATCTAGGTCATGCTTGCTACTATTGTTTTCACTCACTTCTTTTAGTAACCATAGAATCGTCAGTTCCTATCAATATGTACTGATTTAATATTTTCTAATGCTTTCTATTTTGATACTATCTTCAGGCCAGGAAACCCAATTGAAGCATCCAAGCAGGACAGAAGCCAGCTGTAGGTGCAGTGGGAAGGGTACCATAGACCAACACCATGGCGTAGCGTCATAGGATTTGAATCATTTCATGTACATTAATAGTATAATAAAATAATAATAGCAATGAGATCGAGCCCTACGAAGCCTAATGGAAAATCCATGACATACCAGGCTCGAAATAGCTCAATCTGAGTTGGTAACCACATCGAGTGGAGTGAGGGCACATCCATCATTTCCTCCTGGCTTGATTTGGCTCAGAACGCCTCGACCGACTTTTCACTGGGATATATCAATGGTGAATTGCTGATAGTCTGGAAGTGGACATGGTCACACTAGGTAGACGTGTGCAAGCCTATTACTGTCCCTTATGCATTCTTTCCATGACCTTGAGACAAGTTCCGGCAAGGCTCCTCGATGCTCTTTCATTTGGTCAGCAAAGCATCGAGCTCAAGTATGATATTTCAAATTTTGACCCGATCGAGGGGCACAGCCACTTATCACGTCAGGACAGAATGGAATGTCATAGGAGAATGAACTTGAATCACCAAGAATGATGGTATGGGATAACCCAACGACAAGAAGGACACAGACGAAGCCATCAAGCCCTGTAGTAGATCCGGAGCTACAGGCTGCACATCGACATCATTTCACAAACACCTACCGACAACCAGACACTCATTCTGGAGGGAGCTGCCAGGCTTCACACATGGGGAACAAAAGTGTGAGTAGACTAGGCAGTAAGATTATACTATGGAATCACAACATCAGTAGTCTTAGTGTACTTTGCCCCGCATTGTGGTCCGGAATACCAGTCTAGACCTTCATCTTGCAAT